GGAAAAAAAAAAAAAAGACTGTCTTATTTTCGGGGACACACGTTACCTTGGAGAAGGAGGATAGGGGGCCAGGGAGGAAGGAAGTAGCTTGATTTGCTGTGTCTGTGTGTTTGTGGAGACACACACAGCTTACTTGAACACACAGGGGTGACTGCACAGCACTCTGCTTGAGAAAGGAGTCATTCTAAAACAGGAAGTCAGGACCAGTGCTCGGGGGACCAGCTGATTCTGCAGGAAACTAAAACTTTTAAACTTCAAGAAGCAGCATCCATTGTAAGTGATTTCATCAGCATTTGAAATAGCTTAAAATCCTTTTGACTTTAACATCACTCTAAAATTTTGAATTGGGTCAGGTTTTGTTTATTGTCTGTGTCCCCAGTGGGAAGATTTACCTTCACCTCCTGTTCCAGTGACCACACAGGAAGTAAGGGGAAAGTTTCCCCAGTGGGAAAACATCAATCAAACCCTGACGAGGGTTGGTATCCTTTTACACTCTCTTCGAGGCTTCACTTAACTTGTTATCCCACTCTAAGGCCTCATTCACACTAGAAATGGCCGGCAACGTACAGCTACGTGCTGCGTGCATGGCCATATCGGGCAGCTCCCGGGAAGGACAGGTCTTGCGTGTTATTAGTACGCAGCTCCCGTCCTTCTCTATGGTACTACGCGGCCGTACACCGCCCTACGCTCACCCGCCCTACACGTCCGTGCGGGTGAGCGTACTCGTACGGTGACAGGATGGATCCTGTCTGCGAAACAAAAGATAAAACAGAGCGCCTCCATAGTGTAAAACAGTTATTTATTTGAACGGCACACAGCTGAAATTCTACTCACAAAAAGGTCGATCGATATATGGCATGCAAGAGATGAAGTATGAAACTCTGACAGCGGGAGTCTCACGGGGTGAAACAAATCAAAGGTCCTCTGCCCCTGTGAGTTTGGTTGGTCTACGCGTTTCAGGGGCATGCCCCCTTCATCAGAGGTTCTGACGCCCCCTTCATCAGAGGTTCTGATGAAGGGGCGTGCCCCTGAAACGCGTAGACCAACCAAACTCACAGGGGCAGAGGACCTTTGATTTGTTTCACCCCGTGAGACTCCCGCTGTCAGAGTTTCATACTTCATCTCTTGCAAGCCTTATATCGATCGACCTTTTTGTGAGTAGAATGTCAGCTGTGTGCCGTTCAAATAAATAACTGTTTTACACTATGGAGGCGCTCTGTTTTATCTTTTGTTTCCCAGATCGAGGGTCCAGTTGACCGGTGGGAGCAGCCTCCTTTGTGTATCTACCAACATCATATTGGGCTTTATTCTTGCAACCGGCGCCGCCGGTTTTTGTTGTCTTTTGGATCCTGTCTGCGTCCGAGCCAGGAAACACGCACCCGCACAGACCTGCACTTGAGGTGAGCGTAGGGGGGTGTACGGCCGCGTAGTCCCATAGAGAAGGATGGGGGCTGCGTACTAATCACAAGCAGCACCTGTCCTTCCCGGGAGCTGCCCGATACAGCCCTGCACGCAGCACGGAGCTGTACAGCGGGCCGATTACAGTGCGAAGGAAGGCTAAAGTGTAGCGAGCCAGCACCATATCAAGTGACATCATTGGGGAGCGGATACTGGAATGCAACATCTGAAATGCAATATTTGCTGGAGCATGTCCAGGCCAGAAAGTGATCTTATTCAGCCTACACAACCCGCTCCAGCAGCCCTAAGGCAGAATGAAATTGCATTGTATGTAATCATGCTTTGGGTAATCAGGGGGCTGATAACAGCTCCTCTATGGTGGCTGATGAGTTCAAAGACCGTTCATAGATATTAGAGGGCACCGAGACCTGCAGACATGATTCTTCCACCCCCGGAGCTCTGCCAGTCCTTCTATTTGTTTTAAAAGAGAACTATGGGGTAAGTTTTTTCCCCCATAGTTCTCTTTAGGGTCACGGGAGGACATATACTAGCCTCCTCCCGTGACCCAAAGCTCAGTATATTGCAGGCTATTGTCCGCAATATAATGTGAGCGCCGCAGCCGGGACGGATCCCGACATTACTGTCGAGATCCACTCAGCTGCGTGAGTGACAGCTGGCTCTGCCTTTGTGCCCACCCCCTCCTCCGTCCGTTCCCCCAGTCAGCATTGGAGGATCGGAGAGGGGGATCCCTGCAGGGAGCGGTGACTGACAGTCACTGCTCACTGCAGGGAGATGATCGAGAAGTGAGCAGATCGGTGCATGTTTCAGCTCACTTCCCGATCGATAGAGCCGACCTGTGACAGCTTCTTTGTCACAGGTCGGCTCCAACTATGACAATGAGTGGAAATCACCTACTAGATCTCCTTTAATGCCGGAGGGGGGGGGGGGGGCCAGAC